GAGAAGGATCGATACGGCCACCGAGTGGGGGTTTAAGATTATTATTTGTAGACATTGTATTGTCAACTCTGACGCGTAGCGCATCTCTCGCGTAACTCTGACGCGTAACACGTGCCCGACGACAAATAGTAAATAAAATAGTACTTTAACCGCAAGGGTAGATTAAATGATACTTTAACAGAGAGGATAGGTTAAAAGCTTTATTTCTTCTCGCACGTTTTTTAATTGCTTCTATTTTTGAAAATCTTACATTAATTTAATAACCAGATTTTCATTATATTGATGAAATTAGATTCATAGTATTAATAAATCGGACATCGATCTATGATTAACAAATCATTATATTAATGAAAAGAATCATTGTCCCAATGAAACAACAGTTAATAAACAATGTTCATTAATATTATGAACAATATTTTTTTCAGTGTATTGACTCAAAACTGACAACTAAAGATACAGCTTGATCTGGCTTTATTTATTTGTCAAATTACCTACATAGAAACCAACCCCAACCCAGCACAATATTGTTTCTACTCGTAATAAATTCCTTGAAATAATAATTTGTGAATATTTTTTAAAACGTAACTTCATCGCTCGTGAATTTTCAGTCGGCAGATCGAAAAAAAGAGAGAAAAAAAAGATAGAAATTATATTATCTTAGATATAAAAAAAGCTATTAAGGCTATTATTAACGTATTAAATCATAGTTATAACTTGCTTTATGTCCTATCAGGTTTCTCACATATAAATTCATCACTAACACAGAAATCTTAAAAACACAAGTTTTGTTTCAATAATGTTTAGAATAGTTGTTTTACATGGATTTACTTACCGACAATACCAGCTGATAACAAAAATTTCCATATTTTAGGAAATTTTGCATAAATCTGCAACCTTCATAAACCTACAAACATAAAACAAATCGTAATGTTGTATTGTTAAACTATATTTAAAGAAGGTAAAGAGTAATTATACAAAGTTTTTACTGATAAACTAATATATACTGTGTCCAAAAAAAAAACGAAATAACTAAAAAATAATATCTTTATTTCTTGTAAGGCAATCTTGTATAATTAAATGATATTTCATCCACAGTATACAAACTCTTAATCATGATCTTCATCATCATTTTCGGCTTATTCAACCATTTCCAATTATGGTGTAGTCTCACCCACATACTCTATTTGTAGTTTTAGGCCCATTGTTTCATTTTTCATTTTTTTTTTCGATGGGGACGGAAAAAATTTTGCATAAGACACCCAAAGTTGGGTAGTGCCGGATTCCTACCGGCTAAAAAGCCTTCCTTCAACTACCACTTTACATTGGAATCCGCTATCGCATTGCTTCAGTGCAAAGGGTGTCTAGATTTATCTTATCATGCTCTTTGTCTCTCTTCGCTCTCTTTACAGTTTATGATATTTCGGACCAAACCTAACCTACCCGATATATTAGCGTCCATTGTTCTTCCCCTTCAACTAAGTAGGAATCTAACAACTAGTAACCTGCAGTTTCCTATATCATAAATGTGGGTAAGTCAAAGTCCTTACCGGCTTCCATACGGAATTGTTCCCTAAAGCCCTGCCATCGTTCACACGCCAACATGCTAAACATCATCAACCTGACCGCAGTTGGTGCATGAGACCGCAGTTGGTGCATGATTGTTGTTTACTGTTGGCTATTCGGGCCCAAGTTATCCCTGCTAATTTCCTAATATCATGGTCCCATCTCAGGTTCGGTCTTCTAGGTCTCTTAATTCGTGTAGAGTCTACTCCTGGGCACCATGCTGTAATTTTTGTGGTCTATCCGTTGTTCGTTCTTCTTGCCTGGTGTCCTGCCCATTGCCATTTGAGGGATTTGACTCTGTGGATGACATCAATTATCTGGGTCTTTTGTCTACATGACCAGATTGAATGTACGGGGTCTAGAGAATAACGATACCGCCGACGCCCTCCGAAGCCATCAAAGAATCACTTCCACCGATGACTTCAATCTCAATCGTGGATGCTGAACATGGCTGGACACAACTAAGAGATGCGATTCCCAAGACCAGCGAAGCAGTACTGGGAAAATCGGACAAAAAGAAACAACCAGACTGGTTTAACGAAAATCAACCGCATATACAGGCTTTGTTGGAACAAAAGCATAGAGCATATCAAGCCGTCACTGCAAATCCACGTAATCCAAGGTTAGCAGACAACTTTAAGGCAGCCAACAACACGCTCCGAAGAAACCTGCGCCAACTAAAAGATAGCTGGTGGTCGCAAAAAGCTAGTCAGATTCAGGAGGATGCCACGCATCAAGACTATCGTAAATTCTTCGAGGCTGTAAAAGAAGTATACGGTCCAACTAAGAAGGCAAGATGCCCAATGATGGCACAAAATGGCGAACTTCTAAAAAAGGAAGAGCATATCAGAAACCGCTGGAAAGAGCATTACAGCCATATCCTTAACCAAGAAAACAACCCCAATATGGAAGCGCTCAACATAATACCTCAGTATAACAGCCTCGATGTATTAGACATTCCAATAACAGAACAGGAAATAAAGGACTCCATAAAACAGCTTAAAAACAACAGATTAGCTGGCAGTGATGCGATTCCGGTGGAAATCTATAAGTGTGCAAGTAAAGAACTTATTGGTCATCTTAAGGCTTTCTTTGATGTCATATGGGAAAGCGGAGAGGTATCTCAGGACTTTTGCAACGCGAATATAGTGAATATATTTAAAAACAGGGTTTTCTACAATCATGACTTGAGCACAAAAACGAAACTTGCGGTGTACCGAGCGATAATAATTCCCACCATGTTATATGGAAGCGAAACCTGGGTGCCGTACCGCCGACACATGAACGCATTAAACAAGTTGCAACAGAGACATCTTAGACAACTCTTAAGAATAAAATGGTTCCATCATGTCTCAAACGTATCTAAAGAAAAAAAAAAAAAGAAAAAAAATATTATAATTGAAAAAGCTAACTGCGAGAGTATTGAAGTCATGATTACAAAGTCCCGCTTAAGATGGGCTGGTCACGTATGCAGAATGCAAGAAAACCGCATACCAAAATCGCTGCTTTACGGTGAGCTTGTAGACGGTAAGAGGAGGCCGGGTGGACAACTCAAAAGGTTCAAGGATATTTTTCACGAAAACTTAAAGAGAATTAACAAGCAGAATGAGTGGGAAGAGGCAGCTCACAATAGAACGGAATGGAGAAGAATTGTAAAGTCAGTTAAGAGCGACAACCAAAAAGTGAAGAGGCAACAAAGCAATGAGATTTTTGAATGTCTGGAGTGCGGTAGAGTATCGGACTTTTCAGTCACAGAAAAGCCCATGAAAGAAAACGCCTGGCGTGACCATCTTCTGATGCGTGTCAAATACTCGTCAGCGAGTAATGGCGGTGTGGTATGGTATGGTATGGTATGGGTCTTTTGTCGTATCTTTTTGTCTCTTCCTTTTACGGTTTCTCTTCGTTATTCCCAGCATATTTTGTTCTCTTTAGCGTTTTGTACGATCTGCAGTTCCCTTATGATGTCCGTTTTAAGTGTCCAGGTTTCGCATGCATAAGTCATGACTGGTAGTACCAAAGTAGTACACATTAGTCGAATGTTTTTTTCTTTAGGGTGTGGCATTCTAGATTTAAATATAACTGAGTTTCTTCTATAAGAACTCCATGCTAACTTAATTCTTCTGTTGATTTCTGGTAGTAGAGATCCATGTATTATCTGTGTATTAGTTGTCCCAAATATGTTCTCCTACTATTTCCAGTGTTGTGTTATTTATTAGAATGTCTTTTCTTTTTCATCACGAAAATAGTTTCTAGTAATGTTAGTGTTATTTGCGGAAATACTATGGTGTAATAAGTTTTTCTATTTTTTTTGTTTCCCTCCAAAACACTCCACTTTTTTACTTGTTTCCATTTATTTAAAAGAATTATTTTCGACACAACTATGCCCATAAAATAAATTATAAAAATTATTAGAACACGGAGTCAATTAAAGATAATTATAGTTCTATAGTATTTCTTTATGGAACAAACAGGGCATAATAATATACTTATTTACTTTAAAATTATTTTATAACAACTCTATTATAATTCCCTATAACTGCTTCCCCTATAACTGCTTTAAAAATCTTTTTTTTTTCTTAAGTTCGATAGCAGCTTCAATATTTGTAACTTATGATCTGGCAGCAGAATTATAACTTAGGAACCAAGTACACAATAGTTTTATAAAGAAATTATAAGTGACATTACGGAACAATTTTATAAGTGCTTTACAGTGTGTTTAACCCTATAAAGTACTACTTCGCATGTGCTTTACAGTATTACAGTTGGGGGTTGGAACCTTTGGTGTTACACAGCAAAATAAAACACTAAATCACCACAACACACCTAAACACTTTTACACTGGACGCGCGTTTCGCTAACCATGTTAGCATCATCAGCTTGATTAAAATCAACTATAACACAGTTTTAATCATAATCTGCTGATGATAAGTGTTTTGGTGTATTATGGTGATTTAGTGTTTTATTTTGCTGCTTTACAGTAATTTAATTTTATAAGCACGGTTACTGTAAAATTATGTTCCTTGACACATTTATGAAGCAACATTGACGCTTATCTTATAAATTCTCTATAATTTACGTTTAAGAAGGCTCTTCCCAGTAACTTATAAAACAATTAAGTGTTTGAAAGCAAAACACTCTCATGTGACACATTAATGTAATAAATCAGTGTTTCGATATAACTATAAAACATTAAAAGAATATAAAAGTCCTGTTACTCTAAATTTATAGAACTACTTTGTTAGCTGGGTTGGCAAGTCATTGGCAGTCTTACGGCAGTCGCCTATAATAATTACATGGCAGTCTTTTTTACCCAAGTGAGAGACCCCTCGTAGATGTGGCACTTACATGGATATGGATGGTGCACAAGCTGGGTAAATTATTACTTTACAATCCACTCAAATCAGGAGGTAAAAGGAGTTCAAATTAAAAAAAACTTATAGTACAAATCAGTCTTAATTTATTGAACTTAACATTAAAATAAATTAATATCTTAAAATTTCCCTAGGACATATACGAAATATATCCTCCTCTTCTGATGTCGTACGCCCCCTTTATTTCTCCATTCTTGGTCGTCACTGACGTCACAGCTGAAAATCCGTTTGACGTAGGGGTGTATTTTACTTCATGGCCAATACTTACTATATCTCTTGAAATATCTGGGTACTAAAAATAAAGAAAATGTATACCGGGTGCGTTTCAAAAGTGGCCCACACCTATAACATATTTATTTTTTTAGATAAAAAAAAACGAGATTTGGTATGCTAGTATGTGACACGAATTAGAATCGATTGACGTATTCCATTGTTTTTGACCACTTCCTGTTGACTACAACTTTTGATTTTCATACTTTATTCGATAAAAACTGACACTCTGTATAGAATGACATATCACATGTCAACTTTTGACATTTCCACATATGGTTTATTTGGAATTGTAACATGCGGTTGGTAACGACAATTTGCCCCGAAATACCAAGTGTGTGGTACTAAATTATTTGTAAAAAATGCTTTTTCCCAATATGCTAATGAGCCACCTTTGTTTCATTTGAAAAAATTGAGATATGATTAAAAATACATTGGGCATCTTTTAACCCGCCAGAACAAGACACGAAAAACATTAGACGATCAAATATATTTTTCCAAGGCTCCTTGATTAAAAATTATTGTTTTTGCCACAGCCAAACCACTACCAATGTAATTTAAAACAAGATTTTTTAAGCGAAAGTGTCAAAAGTTGACATATGATATGTCATTCTATTCAAAGTGTTATTTTTTACCAAATAAAGTAAAAATATTCCGAGGGTGCTATTGAAAAATCAAAAGTTGTCATCATTTTCGGTGAAACAGGAAGTGAGAAAAAAACAATTGAATCCGTCATCAATCCTAATTTATGTCATATAGTGACATACCAAATCTCGTTTTTTTTATCTGAAAAAATAAAAAAACTATAGGTGTGAGCTACTTTTGAGACACACAATAGCAAATTAGCTTTTCATTTATTTCTTGCATTTTAAAAAGAAAGCAATGCTCTCCTATTTGTTAAGGACTGTTTAAAACAACCTTTTCAAATAATTACTAAAATTCTTTTAGATCAATTTAGTTGATTAAAACTTACGGTTTCATTAAAGCCTTCTTCAAATTCTACTGTCATTGGACTTAACTGATGATGTACTCTTTTGTCATCCATAGCTGTTTGAATGTCTACATCATACCACAGATGCTTCACAAGAATCTGCAAGAAAGGTAATAAAATTAATATAGTCTATCCGAACGAATATATCATTATTAGTGATTGTTGTCTATAATTTTAATTTAATAGATATTTTGGAGCAGCGCGAGTATAATACTGGTTCATAAAAAAGACAGTAACGAGAACATTAGGAACTGCAGATCAATAAGTCTTATTATTTGGTGAGTAACCAACCAACCCACAAATCTTAAATACCCTGTATACACCCTCTACACTATTCGGTAAAAATAGTCCGAAGCAGGTCAAGGTTACGTTTTGTCGCCACTTTGTCGCATCTCGTCCTGTCTCTCCGTTTGTCTTGACCTAATACTATTTCTTAAAAAAACTACTCGCAAAATTACGAAGGAGGGCGTGGGAAAGGATTGTTTAGCGTTTCCTCTTGTCTCGTTCAATTTCGTTTCGTTTCGAACTGTTTCCACGACGTGTCGGTATCTATACCCGAGACAAAGGACTTTTTTCATAAATCTCAGTGAAATAAGTAAACCTAGACGTTTCTAAAATATCTGTTGTTACAATGATATTTCGATAATTACATCTCGTTTTATATTGATATAGAATCCACAAAATTAATATTTGAACACGGGTTTATAATATGTAGGGTAAATATTTAAGAATAAAACTTTTCACTTAACCTGCAGGAATATAATTGCAATATTTTTATTATTTAATTTTATTATAATGAATTAGTATATAAAATTGTATATGTTATATTTGTTTACTGCCTTAATTGATTAAAATAACAGTAATATTGCTTGATGAGTATTGGCGACATCATCAATATATCGAGCTGATTGGGTAAATTATTGATTTACCCGATGTCAATAAAAGTATGGTCCACGGACATTTTTAAAAAGCAATGTTCTCGTAATATTTTAAGAGAAAACTATAAAATATACTTCTGTTCTATGCTTCTGTTAGCACACAACATGGTTTGATATAAATCTCTTCAAAAATAATAAATTATTAGACGATTTTTTAAATAGTTTAACACCGTGGATTATAAGCCGATAAAAGGCGGACCGCCATAACAATTAGTCACTGTTGTTTTAGAAATATATTTTTTTACTATATTGTAATTAATAATAGACAATGATTAAAACTTAATATTCTTGTGTAACCTTAGAGGAATAGCCAACTTGTCTATAACTTACCGATGCTATTACAGTGGTTATTTTGGTACCCCCTGCAGCTCCGGTAACCAGAACTACGTCATCGTCTTTCACGATAATCGATGGTACCATGGATGACAGCGGCCTTTTTCCCGGTGCTATAAAATTGGCTTCCGACGGAGCTAGTCCAAACAGATTGGTCACGTTGGGCAAGGCAAAGTCATCCATTTCGTCGTTCAAAATGATGCCGGTTGAATTTGAAGCAAAACCAGCACCAAATCTGCAAAAAAATCGTATAGGGTCTATATTAGTACTATATTATAGGAAAAGGATAAGGAAGATTATACCAACAAAATTCAGGAGTTTTAATACGGTTGACTTGAATTTCTGCTGTAAAGTAGTGTTTCTTAGAGGTATTTTTTTACGCGTACTGGGAGAAAAAAATGAAGACCGTGAAACACGAGCTAGCACGAAAAGTGGTCATGATCGAAAAAGTGATAATTTATAATCAGAAAGTTGAGATGGGTCTTTAGAGCGACGTTTTCTAACGACGTTTCTTGTACTCTGAAACCCCATCATCAATGGCGAAAAAATTGTCCGATTTAAATAAAATTTGGTACGTAGATAGATTGGACAGAGGTCAACTTAACAGTGTACGGCATGTGTCACTGTGACGAGTTAGTTTTGATGTAAGAAATGCCAAAAGTTAATGTCCGATCGCGACATAATTTGGTTTACAACTTCATCAGGGTGGGACTAAGGATTTGATATTGAAGACAAATGTGGGGTGATTTGGGGACGCGTTACAGGATGACGCCCTCGACGTTTCGAACCGCTGCCTCTAAATGGACGAAATCATCAGAATTTTTCTTAATTATGGGTCGATTGGGACAACAACCTAACCTAACTTGGCACGTGGATAGAGGTACCCGAATGGAGTCCTCAGACGGACAGACGGTCATTTTAATACAAATTTTGTGAAAGTCAATCAAATTATTTATTAATTTTTAATTTATTACTTCTTCAACATTTCAAACTACACTTTTTTGAACATATCCTTCAATTTAATAGCTGTTAGTGAGAAGTTTCACTACAAATATGCGCACATAGTGCACACATATTTTTTCCTAATATATCTAAAGCTGTAACTCTATGGCTAAAGCATATAAATGAAATTAGATATGGCGAATCATATACCAATTTGTTCTGATAAAAATTAGAGGTCTCTAGTGAGAACAAAACTTCTGTAAACATTAAATAAAAAACTCTCGGTAGCAAAAAGTTTATGTAGCGATGTTATGCTTGTATAACAAGGGGTTCCAATACAGCATAAATTAGATAAGACGAAAGGAGCACCTGTGTGGAACGAAGCAACCAATATGCACGTAAATAAAAAAAGACTTGAAAGTGCACAGAGAGTCATGGCTTTGAGGGTCTGCTCGGCGTATTGGACAACTTCAACTGAGGCAGCCTTGGTAATATCGGGTCTGGTGCCCCTGCATCTTCTCTCAAGAGAAAGAGAACGACTCTTTCTCAAGGGTGAAGTACAAACCAGGACAAGCAGAGAGATGGAGAGAAACCGCTCAGTGCAGCAGTGGCAGGCAGAATGGGAAGTAACGCAAAAAGGAAGATGGACATATAAGCTCATCCCAAATATAAATATGTGGAGTAAAAGAAAGCATGGAGAGGTAAACTTCTATCTTACTCAAATATTGAGTGGTCACAGAAATTTTGGGAGTTACCTGTGTAAAATTGGAAAGAGGGAAGTCGCGGAATGCCGATACTGTGCTGAACCCAATGATACTCCAGAACACACAATGTTTGCTTGTCCAAGATGGGAACATTAAAGATGTGAGGCACGCATGACGGTTGGTGGCAACATCTCCGCAGATACCTTCTTAAAATCGGTAACAGAAAGAAGAGAAAACTTTGAAGCCATCACAAAACTGGCCCAAAATATACTAGAGGCAAAATACAGCGAAGAGCAGGGGTAATGAAACAAAAAGAACAGTCCGGCGTCTACTTGAGGAGATGCGTCCAGCGGGTCCAGGTAGACGTGGCAGGAGCGAGGGGGTGATGTTTAGTGGGTAGTGTCCTCCAGGTAGCTTAAGGAGAGATTGAGTCTCACACTCCTTACGTAAAGGTACTTTACACCTCCAGAAAAAAAAAGATAAGACGAAAGACCCAGATATGTGATCAACAGATGTATATCTCTGAAAATGTATATCTCCAACAAAACTGCACAGTGGTATAAGGGAAGGATAAAGACTAAGAAGGCGCTCTAATCTAAGATGAAATATACTATATTAGAGAACAAGCAGGTGTAATTATTACATATTAATATAATAATATGTAATAATGCATAATACAAAATTACATATTAACAAAACACAGGCGTACATGAAAAAAGAATACGGAAAAGAGGCAGACTGTAAATTAACGGAAAATATTCCGTTTTTACAAATAAAATCGTCATAGACACTTACACATAATTAATTGTGCTGGTAACAGAAATCGCATCGCCATTGGGAGCCAAAATAGAGATATGAGCAGTTCCATGATCCTCCACTAGGGATGCCTTTGCGCCGTAATAGGTAGGATCTTGACTAGTACGATCATCAAAGATTTTTGATCTGATATCTTTTGCATACGATTTGGAAGTTAAGTTAGCCACCAGCTAAAAATAAATTAATACTATTTATATTAAACTGAAATATTAAATTTTTGTTGTTAATAATAAATCTGTACCTCGGAAGCAGTTGGGCTAAAGTCCACTTTTACATTTTTTAACATACCATTATCATTGCTTTATAGCAGAAAGGCTGGAGTCAAATATATGATAAGAAAAAATATAAGCAAATAGTGGACTGAGGTCCCTATACCTTTGTTGGTGTATAGGCACTTCACATTTCTCGCTCTCCTGTAAAATTATCAAAACTGAACTTCAGCCAAAGTGCTCCTGAGGTACAAAAATATCATACAAAGTTGACTTTGTGAGATATATTTAGTTAGAGCAGGGCCAATGAATAAAACAAGGATATAATTTTTCAGTTGCATTTACATTGTTGCAATTGATTTATGTATAGTGTATGTATATGTACGTGTATCAGGAATAAGTGCAAGAATTTTAACTGGTAGTATAGTTCGACCCCAGAAACACGCCCATGTTCTTTATAGCGCAGTGAGAGAATGCAATGTTGCCACCTACGTTATGCACATTCAGTATGTTTATAAGTTCACATTTGTAAATTTCTACAAAAAAAAATACTAAAATTATTTTTGTTCACTGTAGAGTTTTTAATCATTGTAGATTACTATTAAGTATAGTGCAACGTCTAGTATTTTAAATACCTTTCTTAAATAAAGTTTAACCTCAAGAACAGTGTGGGTCCCCTTTGAATCGGTCCCGCGCCCTCAGAGTATAGGCTATTCTTGAAGTCGACCATATGGGATCCGCCATCTGACTTAAGATTCGAGATTAATGACCCATTTGACTTCAGATTCGCGATCAGCGATGCAAAAAACTCCCATATACTGATTTTGTTCAGATCCGTGTTTTTTTAGGGTTCCGTACCCAAGGGGTAAAAACGGGAACCCTATTACTAAGACTTCGCTGTCCGTCCGTCCGTCTGTCACAAAGGTCTATCTTATGAACCGTTATAACTAGACAGTTGAAATTTTTACAGATAATGTATCTATGTTGCCGCTATAAGAACAAATACTAAAAACAGAGTTAAATAATGTTTATAAATAAAAAGGTACTTTTACTCAACATTATCTTTTAAGTAAGAATTTTACATAGAATCTTTCAACTCCACGGTCGCCGCGTGGTTAAAGCGTTAGGACTTTACGCTGCTATGACGTTGGAGCCGTAGTAAGGCAGGTTCGAATGCTAGTCAAGGCGACTTTTTTTTAATCATTTTTTTTAATTTTTACATATTTATTATTGATTAATACAATTTTCAGTAATGTGTTTCTTCATTTTTTTTAATTACTTATACGCGCATTCAAAATTTCAGCTAAATCAGAAAAAAAAGTTTATAATAATATAGTGTCTAATATTGTATAGATGGAACCCTTCGTGCGCGAATCCGACTCGCACTTAACCAATTTTTTTGAAATTTGCGTCGGCCATATTTGATCCGACGCCAGATTCATGATCAGCGACCTAAAAAACTCCCATATAGATACAAACTTTTGTCCAAGTTCGTGCATTTTATGAAATTCGCATCGGCCATATTGAATCCGCCATTTTTAATTCTGCCAATCCTACATCAGATTCATGATCAGCGACCCCAAAAAAAACCTATACCGATTTTGGTTAAGATCCGTGCGATTTTCGAAAATCATGACTTGTGGTAGGTAGGGGCGGGAAAGTGAAATAGCAAAAGCGGTTCCACCCAAGTTCCACCGTTTCCACGGAAATCTCAAATAAAATAGTTCCAGCCCTAGCAACTAGGTGGTAGTGCAATTAATTTTTAGGTTAAGAAGTTGCTACTAGTTATTGCCAGATGGCGTTAAATCAGATTTTTTTTTGTAGTTTCCATAGTTTCCAACGGCCATTGTCATATTATTGTCAAATTCTCAAAAAATATTGTCGTTGTCATAGCGCCAATCATAATATTATCAAATAAATGATTATCAAAACGTTTTTCAAACTATAATTTGTTATATGTGTTTTAATTAGACAATTCCTTTTGTTTGTGGCCCTAAAAATATAATGTAAGTCTTTTATATTTGCCATCATTTAAGTACCTATTTATATTTACTCCATTTACAAAACGTTGGGCGTATTACGTTGGTCTTGTTTTATTATAATAAACGATGCTTAAATATTTGACTTATAAATAAGAACTTTAAATAATAAATAATATTTCACATGTTTGGCTTTAATTTTATTTAATAATTGTATAAATTATACTGTTAAATCTTATTTTTTACACATCACAACAATACTTGTTATTAGTATTGTTGAATTTGTGTAAAAAATAAGATTTAATAATCAAATTTAATTATTTTAGAGTAAAATTCAACAAAAACGCTCATATAAAAAGCCCGCGCTTCGATCCATTTAAGACAAGCCCTACTCAATAGATGGCGCACTTCTGTAGGACCATTATTCAGTATGGCAGAGTCCATTCTTTTTCTAGCTAGGTATATTCTTTGGTGGTAGGTTTTTTGACGTTAGAAAAAATATGAGACATGCAGCTCAATTCTGATGGGGTGTTTTGAGCTAATTAAAAAGAATTTTTACGGATTTTCAAGTTTTTGAGGTTTGAAAAAAAAATAAGATGTGATGGCGTAAGTCTGATAGCGGATTCGTGCTCAGCGTCGAAAAATACTATAGGATATGATGGGGCCGGTAAACAGCATAGACCACTTTTCACACCGTGTGGCTGTGTTATCGTTTGATTACCGACTGGTGCTCTCAAAATGTTGCCATTATTTTTTAAAAGTTTCGTTAAAAAGTTAAATAACTCGGTTATTATCAATTTAATTTAAAAATGATAAAAAGAAAATATGTTTCTTTTGACCAGATCTATCGCCTATTACCTCTTAAAACACTTGCACTTATTTCTGGGACACCCTGTATAATCTGTTAAATGAGAGTATTTGTGTCAGTGACAGGTGTTTGATATTTTCCTTCAAAGTTGATTTCTGTCATTTTTAAGATGTACCGCTGGACAGACACTACATATCAATACAACTTAAAAGAAATTTATTTTAATAGTCACAATAAAATTATGGTTAATTTGGACAAAATATTAAAATTTTGACGATAATGTTATACTAGTCTCTACTTACCTCAGTAACATTGACAAAATTAGCATCTCCTAGCAATGTTCTGTGTCCATAACCAAACTTAAAGCTCTCGATAATCCTCTGGACCGTCTGAGTGGTATAGAGTTGATCCAAATTCAACAACCCATCTAATATGTTCAGAATGTAGGTTAAAACCACCCCGGAACCTGGAAGAGGGCTGGTGTATAGAGTATGATTGTCATTAAGTACTGCTCGCACAGGTTCCTGCCATTCGGGTCTAAAACAAAATTGGACAAATGATTTATTCAAGTTTAATGCCTTGTGATGTTCTTGAACCATCTGTTAACTACCTCTATATAATAAAAAAAATGTCAAGTTGCCTGAGTAGTATTAGGGAACTTAGACTTATACTGCTCAGACAACGCGAATATAGTGAATATATTTAAGAACTAGGGAAGTCCATCAGATTGCGGAGACTATCGGGGAATTTCATTACTGGCTATCGGAGGATTCTTACAAAAATTATGTGAAACCGCCTGTACCCACATATAGAAAAAATCCTCCCATAATCGCAAACGGGCTTACACACCAGCCGCAGTACCGTTGATTTCATATTCTCCGTTCGCCAACTACAGGATAAGGTAAAGGAGCAGCAGAGTAAACTTTATGTTGCATTAATTGATCTAACAAAAGTAGAACACTCTGTAAACAGAGATGTACTTTGGGCAATTATGCAAAAGTTTGGAGTACCCAACAAAGTTCTTTCAGTGTGTAACATATCCTGCCTCCATAACAACAACATGTCTCATCGATCACTAAGCGATCCCTTTCTAACAAATGCAGTAGTTAGGCAGGGATGTCTTAGCGCCTCTCCTATTCAACATATTCATGGCAGCGCTCTCTGTTATAGTAGATAGGAAACTGCAGGAAATAGGATTGGGCATTAGATATAGATACGACGGTGGTCTGTTCTTTACTGTGACCTTGTAGATGGCAAGAGGAAACAGGGTGGACAACAAAAGTTACAAGGATATTCTCCATGAAAACGTAAGGGGGATAAGCTGTAATAGAATAATATCAAGCTTTGTAAATTTTTATCTTTTTGGTTTGTTATTCTAAGATGGAACCATTTCAGTTTACGAAGTTATCAGTCGACATAGGCAAACGAATTTTAAAAGGCCTAAGCAAATAATCTAATGATATTCAAGACACATAAACTCTCTAAAAGTACGCATATATCCTGAGAAACTAACTAAGCAAATAATACAATCTTCTAAATAATTTATAGTCACATAAACGAGAGTAAAGTAGAACAAACATTCATCCCTTATTATCAAAACTCTATTTGACAGAGTGGTACCAGTTGTGTGTACCCTAGGGATATCTCAAAATAAACAACGCAGAAAAAGCACGTAGGCATGCTTAAGGAAATAAGTAAAATTAAATCATCCCCTCGCTAGAGGTTTTACATTGAAAATTAAAAGTATTAAATATATGTTTTAAAATCAGAATCCAAATGTTCACGAGATGAATGTCTGAAAATGATAGAAATAGGACTATCTTTTTTTCCGTTCCTAGAGTTAAATAGAAATAGACAAAAATGTGAAGAAATAAAGAGTTAATTTCTAGGCGGTTTTTTTTCTAAGGTAATCCTATGGCACGATATCATTTGTATTAGTTAAGGCTTAGATTATGAATATTATCCAGCAAATTGGTAAAAGAGTAAGATTTACACGGAAGGGTTTAAAAATTACATTTAATTAATAAATAGGACATGCTGATGCCCTCTCGGGATAAGGACCAGAAACAGGGGTGAAAGAAGTCTAGGGATCTTTCGGGGAAGGAACCCTTCGGCCAATTAAAAAGGTGCAAAATATGCATTTGGATGGATATTCGAAGGTTCCTCAAACAGGGGCGTGCCGAAGATGTAGTAACGCCTTTCCGAGATAGTACCAGCATCAGTATTTTCATCTTCAAAATTAGTTCGGTACTGACTTTTAAATTAGACGGTCGAATTTACTCCGTGTAGATCTTATATTATCCAGTGGTCTTTTTAATTGTTTTTAGTAAGTTCTCTATCTAAAGATTTTCTCAAATAAATTCTCAAGTTAGGAAATTCTAAACTATTCATGCTTACAGTATTTTAATTGTTGTTTTTGGATTTTCTCTAATATTTTTCTTTATTAATGATTTAAGACTTTCTGTTTGTTCTAAAGGCTTTAGTAAATTTTAGATGTCATTGCATAAGTGATTATTTTGCAATTGTTCTTTTATTAAATTCTAATTTAAATTTAATTGTTCAGTGAATATTTTTTAATATATTAATTTTCTGCCAACGATAATTCTAAGAGAGATTTGAAAGTGTATGCTAATTGTAGATAATTTAAATTGGACTAATAAGAAGAATATTTTGTATTTTTTTTAACTTTATTATCTCTGAGTTTTAATTTCAATTCTCTAATTGTCATTAATTATTTTTGATTCAATTTCTTTCTTTTTCATTAATTATAAATGTTTTGTTATTAAATCTTTTTCTTTATTTTTTATTTATTTATTGCTTTATATTAAATATAGTTAGGTGTTGTGAAAAATCGGCATTTTATTTCTTTATTTTACCTAATCACTAAAATATTAAGTTATTTAAAAGAACACTGTGATAACCGGTCGAGTGGTCCAATCCAAGGTATGAGTCCAAGACCGAAGAGGTAAATCGTGTGTAAAGAGGTAAAAGGGGATCAATGAAATCTTCGACAGGTTCTTGTTGTTGATGTATTGCTGATGGATGTTGACGTAATAAGGTAAGTGGCAATAAAGTTTATAGTAACTGAATTTAGAAAGAGCCCTTACCATAAAAGTGCGATACCTTTTAATTTCTATTTTTAGCTGGTTATATTTTGTTTTTATATGTAAACGATAAACTATATTTACGCTCTGAAAAGACGGTGCTCTTATTAATCCAAGTTCTGCCTACCGCTCAATAAATTATTTTAATTATAAAAATTATATAAAGGCCACACTACCATGATAACGGACAAAATCTTGAAAGTTTTGTCACAAAGCATTCAGAATTAGTGGGAGGAGGCAGCTCACAATAGAACACAATGAAGAAGAATTGTAAACTCAGTTAACAACGACAACTAAAAAAATAAAGAGGCAACAAAGTAATGAGATTTTTGAATGTCCGGAGTGCGGAAGAGAGATAACATCACGTATCGGGCTTTTCAGTCACTCATGAGGAAAATCTCATCAAAAAAAACCTCTTGCGTAACCATCTTGTGATGCGTGTCATATACTCGTCAGCGAGTAATGGCAGTAATAGTAATAAGTATAAGTTGTTTATTTTTAATAGATCACTTAAGGCAAGGCTTTTTTCCTACTAGGTGGAAACACTCATTTGTTACTCCCATTTTTAAAAGCGGGGATAGGTGTAATATAGTAAATTACAGGCCTGTGTGCATTCAATCTTCTGGACCGAAAGTGCTCGAGAGGATGGTAATGCCTGTTCTTGAAAATAGCTTTAAGAATATTATAACTGAACATCAGCATGGCTTCGTGAGTGGGAGGTCAACTGTGACAAATCTATTTGCATATACTTATTTTATTTACAACTCTTTGGATCAAGGTTGTGAGGTGCATTCCATATATACCGATTTTAGCAAGGCGTTTGATCTTTTGGATAAAAACATTTTATTGAATAAACTACAGAATTATGGTATTAATGGCTCATTTTTGTCATGGTTGGCGCCCTACTTGCGAGGAGGTTCTCTTCAAATGAAGGTTGATGGATACCTCTCGTCAACTTTTAACGTTAAATCAGGGATCTCCCACAGGGATCTCATCGGCCCTAGACTGTTTCTGGTTTTAATGAATGATATTGGTCACTTTTTTAATTCGAATTATTTGCTTTTTGCTGATGATCTAAAACTCTTTAGATGTATAAGATCAAGTCAGGATTGTGAACTACTCCAGAAAAATATAAATGGGTTGATGGAATGGTGCGACTTGAATAATTTGAAGCTGAATAGAGACAAGTGCTCATATATTGTATTCACTCGCCATAGAAACTACATGTGTATATAGAATGGGTGACTTTGCGCTACCCAGAGTAAATCTTATTAAGGATCTGGGCATTTCCTTAGACAGTAAGCTTAAGTTTTCGGACCACTACCAGAATATTATTGCCAAGGCATGTCGAATGATGGGATTAATTATTAGAACATCTAGGGATTTTAGGGATGTGCGCTCTTTGGTAGTGCTATTCACTTCCCTGGTGCGCTCAGTGTTGGAGTATGGTTCAACCATTTGGTGCCCCTATTATCTTACACATAAAAGCCGCATTGAGGCCGTGCAGCACAGGTTTCTGAGACATCTTCGATATAGATGTGGGCCAGGACATTCAGACATGGGGGTGGGTGCATTGAGAGAGCACTTTGGGTTGAGTTCGTTGGAGGACAGGAGAGTGTTTTTAGAAATGTGTTTATGTTCAAATTGTTAAATAATATTATAGTTTCTCCTCACTTACTACAACGAATAAACTTTGCAGCTAACCCAAGAAATTTTAGGCATAATGATGTGTTGGCTAGTGGTAGATTTAACACGAGGCATTCCCAGAATATGCCTCTTAATCGGCTTATTTCATATGTCAATGCCAATGAAGACCTACACTTTTGGGGGGTGTCCTTAAATACATTTAGAATCAGATTGGGAAGAAGTATCCTCTGAGTGCAATATGTAAAAGTATATTTTTCTTGTCTTAAAAGTATATGTATTAATACTTAATATCTCTTGTTGTATACATTTTTGAATGTTTTTAAGAGTGTTGAAGTGTCTATATTATTTTATTTTTTTTTACTTTATATTTGCATTTTTTACTTTTTGGATTTATAAAATTTATGAAATTAAAATCAAATGTATAACGCGTAAGGCTTTTTTGATATATGTAGGTACTAATATAATATCATAAATATTGGATACTTACTGATAGTTTATCAAATCTTCTTCGGTAATGATTCCGTTATTTTGTTTAATGTCATCAACGAAACCTTTTATTAACGAGCCATTGGCACTGTACAGAGCATGCACTCCTTCATCAGCTATTATTTCTAGAGTCTTCGCAAATCTCAGTATTTTAACATATTGACCCTCTATATAAGGTTCAGTTGTACTTGGGTCAATAAAAATATCCCTAAAAAAGATTAACTATAATGTGATACAATAGGTTTGTTCCAACTCGCCGCGCAGTAATTCAAATGTGTTCTAACCGGTTTTTTTGACGGTTATCGGACGATCCTATTTGCGTACCAACCTACTTTGGGATCGTTTAGTTACTATTTCAGAACGGTAATTTCGGTACATAGTCCAAATTGAGAACTGTTTGGGTTAACTTGCATATTAAAGCATATTGGCAGGGATTATCGATTTTTAACAGCTTATTCTGGTCCGGTGTCCGGCTGATGCTTCTGTTTTGGTTATTTTTTACGAATTCGAATACGTGTGCGTTATAATTTTGCTTGTGAGTTTGTGTGGAGTAAATCGTTCGGAAATTTTAATTATTTTTTTATTTATAAAATAATGTTCAAATATTCTACTGCAATGAAATAACAGGAAACTAGGCATAACAGGATCATAAAAGAGAGGATAAGTAAGTGAGTTAGTGAGTATACAGTTGAAACAACACTTAACAACAATTACTGGATTCTGATTCTCCATTTCAAGAATAATAATTATTATTATTGCAAATTGCAAACAAAAATAATAGGGTTATGTTATGAAATGTTATGAAATGTTATGAAATGTTATGAAATGTTATGAAATGTTATGAAATGTTATGAAATGTTATGAAATGTTATGAAATGTTATGAAAACAAAACCGATCGATACACGCACGCTTGACTCTTTTGACAGTCCCGAAAACAATCCACAAAGCGTTCCAACGTTGACACTTTTTGCACCGTCACCAAATTATTCGAACTCCGCCCATGCTAACAAAGTGCAAGAAAACCGATTCGAGTACGATTTCGAAGCGATCCCGAAATACTGGTTGGAACAAACCTATTGTTAACAACATGGTAACAAGTAACAACCATGAATATGTATAAAATACCAAACATTTTTATGTATTATGTGATGTTTCTAATGTATTATGTGATGAAGAAGTAATTTTTGTTATAATTTTTAAAAACAGTATAATGTATTTTATGGTATCAATACAAACATGTAATTCGATTTTTTTCTATAAATTTTTGAAGTAGTAGGTTTATTTATTTCTCTGAGCACATGCACTGAATGTTTTTGCTTAGTATAGCTGGTGCGCCTCAAATGTTGTTTACCACTATATCGTTTTTATTTTTTCAGATAAAAAAACAGATTTGGTATGTTAGTATATGATATAAATTAGGATTGATTGACGTATTCAATTGTTTTTGGTCACTTCCTGTTTCACCGGAAATGACTGCAACTTTTGATTTTTAAAGGGCACCCTCGGTATATTTTTATTTTATTTGAGAGAAAATGACGCTTGAATGACATATCATATGTAAACTTATGACATTTTCGCTTAAAAAAAATCGTATTTTAAATCGCAATCTAGAATGCCATGGTTCTGTTAAAAACACTAATTTGTAATCAAGAAGCTTTGGAAAAATAGATTTGATTGCTGGCGGGTTAATATGCCCAGGTCGTATTTTTAATCATATTTCATTCTTTTTGAACGAGGGTGGCTCATTGGCATATTTAGAAAAGGCATTTTTTAACGAATAATTTAGTACCACACATTTGGTATTTCGAATCAAATTGTCGTTATGAACCGCATGTTACAATTTCAAATAAACCATATGCAAAAATGTCAAAAGTTGACATATTATATATATGTCATTATATTTACAGTGTCATTTTCTGTCGAATAAAGTAAAAAAATACCGAGGGTGTCATTTAAAAATCAAAAGTTGTATTTATTTCCGGTGAAACAGGAAGTGACAAAAAACAATTGAATACGTCACTCAATCCTAATTTATGTCATATGTCATATATTAACATACCAAATATACACCCGGTATATTGACACCAAATACGTTTTGATCTTTTTGTTAATAAAAAATTAGTATAAAAGTACCTTAAAACGGGATCACTCATTAATAAATCTTTACTGCTTAAATAAATTCGGGCTAAAAATGCAGTTACATAAATCCCTTCTTTACACATATCGATAGTAGGTTGTACTAAGTCTTTCCACGGCAATTTTCCATATTCTTGATGTAAAGTCCAGTAGCCCTTTAATTCGCCGGGAACAGCCACTGACAATCCTCCTAAGAAAAATTAAGAAACAATAAGTTACTAGTAGTTACCTAGTCAATTTAGTAAGTTGGCAGGCTGGTCATAAGAAAGCTGTTTTATACAACGTGGCCTTAGCTGGTTATAAAAGAAATATTTTAGACAGTTGTAGTTTGTAGAGACGAACAAAACTGCAATTTTCCAATTGCAATTGAAACTGCGATTGCGATTTTTAAAGTCTTTCAAAATCTAAACCGCTCTCATTGAACAAATTCCGAAAAGTGTTTAAAGCGTCCATTTTTAAAGTGATTATTGCTATCTTGTGAGTTTAAGTTTTATTTACTCAAACCCGTGATAATTGTGAAAAAGATGCATTAAAAACTAAAAAAAATGTGTTGTGAACTGTGAACTGCAAAAACCATCGCGGATCGTGGCATAACGTCGGTTTCCAATGTTTCATAGGTATTTCACATACATGTCCTATTTTATTTATAGAATTAAAAAAAATATAATAAATTTGAATAAATGATATTTGGCGACATAATTCCGGAAAAAGATGAACTGATCCGAAATTATCAAAAGCTTTGGGTCGCGACCGTTGCAAGAATAGCGCCAAATAGTGTTTGCATTGTCCTTCTGGGCACTTTCCAATCTAAACTTGTTTCATTTATCTATGCACATAGTGCACACACATTGTTTTGTTTACCTCTCTGTGCCAAGCTTGAACTCCCATTATACATGTTGACTGTAGCCGCTCCAGGAGCTACTTCTCTGGAATTGAGCGATCTAACTTTTCCAGTTTCTTTTTCGTAAATGGTCATGAGAAATCCGCCTCCCAAGCCCATACTTTGCGGTAGAGAGACGCCTTCACAAAACAGTGCAGCTATTGCCGCATCGGCAACAGATCCGCCATTTTCTAAAACTGTCCTATAATAAATTCGTGAAAATATTATTAACATTTGATAAAATTTGATTAAACTTAAATAAGTAAGATTGAAACTTTCAATAAGTATGGGTCAGAAAATTGATTAAAATAGTCATTGGAGTTACATAGTCTTGGGAGGAAAATAATATCACAGATTATACAGATTATAATCTTTGTTTTTTCTTTACTGTTTTTCGTGGTTCCAATTTTCGGAATCGGGCACTAGTTAGGTGACTAGTTTGCGCACATAGCACGCCCACTTATGGCCTCTAAAATTGTGCACAGCGCCTGACCGGCACAGTTATTAGAGAGATATCGGAAAAGCGAATAGCGTCATCCAGTACTTACGCGTACCTTATCATGGTTACGATATGCGCGAGTCAATTTTTAACGCAACACCCGCTAATAACGTTACCGCCTGACGTAATTTGCGGATCAATTACACCAAGCGCTCTTTCTAAATAATTTCTGATAACGTTTCAAAATTGCTTAAATAGGCATGCGCGGGTATTTGACAAACGGAGCCGGCTGGCGCGGCGAGATCTTTTATTTTAGGTTATGTTTGAATTGTTTTGAATTATTGCTTTAGTTTTATTAGGTAATTTGATATTTAAGTAGCTGGGATTAGTTTTAATTAAATAAATATGGCCCAAAATATGGATTCCACCTCTTCCAATACTAAATATAAACCTATAAAGAGTCTTTATAGGTTTACAGCAGATGACGACTTAGCCCTTCTAAGAGAATTTGTTGCTTGTTGCCCTAAACCCACTGGCAGACGTTGAACAATAAAGCACTGGAAATAAGCACTTTAGCCCTTTAGTTTTAACATACCTAGTAAACAAAAGAAATTCAAAGTTAGGTTAAGTTTAAATAGCGGACGCGACGCGATCAGAATTCTTTCCGATCCGATAACTATAAATGAAGAGAGTTAATACCACCTCACGTAAAGGAAATAACATCTGGCCTTATTAACGTCCATGCACGCTATTCGGTTTAGCGATATCTCTTTATTACGCTGTTTATTGTTATTTTACGCGAGTTTATTTTTGCGCACAGGAAATTTGACTCGTTTGCACATCGTCATAAAAAACAATTTTCGTACCACGAATTAGGGATAAGATTTTTATCTGTATACTTATAGGATACCTAATCTGTGATAATATAATAAAATAATCATATTCTATTGAAATATATTGCTAAAAATAAAACATTTTATTTACGTACGTTCCTATTGCTGAACACTGATATCCGTTAGTTACTACTGCTCCATTACTTAGTGATTTTGATTTTTTGACTCCAAACTGCCACACCAAGACACCAGTTACAGTAGCTACGACAATAGCAGCACCACCAAATAAAAAACATTTTCTTTTTGAGATTCTAAAAAACGGTTACATATTTAATAACATTTTTCAACGTAGAACATAATTAATATAAGTAAATTTTAAACCATTAACCAAAAAAAGTCTTCCAACAAAGTACCTAATTAATGAAACACCACTGGTTTTAATTTCAATTTTTAAAATTTGAACACCCTATAGTTCAATTTCTTTAAAAACCTTTAAGCATATGTCAGGATATGCGTGAACAATATAATAAAATGAATGATTACATGCTTTTAAAACACTTTGCATAATAATTAATAAGTATTTAGTACTAATAAACTAATGGTTACTCAAAATATGCCGTGTTTCTATGGTTGCATAACAATTTAATACTATAAATCTTTTAAATTGTTAATAAATAAGTATGTATAGAAAATATATAGGTCATAAAGATTAAAAATATAAATAAAAAGGAATTTTATTGATAAATCAAAAAGCCATTATTTATTATGCTTTTTTAAGATTAAAATATGCTTTTTTAATATTGAAATATCAAAAAATATTTAAAAATTAACTGCCAATATATCTATTTTGTACCCTTATTATGTATTGAAGGATATTGTAAAATAGCAATTATTAAAGAAGAAATGGATAACAAATTTAACAAATAAAATATTTTTTAAAATCTGCTCTAGAGAATAATTAATTAGGCAGTGTTGTTTTTTTTTTGATATAATTAATTAATGTATTATAGTTTTTAGTGGTGTAATAAATTAGTTAAGTGTCTTAAGTACGGTGTTTTTAAATCTGTACCAATTTCATATTATAATTATCTGTTACTTCTGAATGACTAAAACAACTAAAAATTACGTATTTTTTACTAAATTTTAGAAATAAGTATCTCAGTCATATTGCAAGTTAATTATCAATTTTTTAATTATGTTATTATATAGACTGTTATTATAAACTGTCATTGGTAATTTTGGTTTACGTGATTTAGTAAATAATCCAATACATTTTAAATTTTAAATAAACTTTAAAAAGGCTTGATAAATTTATTGACGATGAATGATTACGTCTTACGTACGTGCTATACATTATTAATAGACACTGGCTGTTATATGCGTTATGCAATGGTCAGAAAATTGTAATGAATTTTTTATGAAATATCAATAAATATTATACCCGATGTTTTAAAACGAATACGAAAAACTTATGGAATTCTTACTAAAAATAAGGGATATTACGTTAAGCCGGTCCCACACGATGGGGCAAACATCTTCCAACGTTGGACACACGGACATTTGCCACATGGTGTGGGGGACACTTGCCAATTATGTGTATTGTATAACATTGTCGAAAACTGGGCCGAATATTGGTTCCAACCAGAGATATAGACATAAGGAGAATGAATGAGCTTCGACGAGTGCGCATCCAAAAATCTTGTTATGCCTACATGGGCGCCATGTTAGTGTTTAGGCTTACAGGGGAAATCAAAAAGTAATAACAGCAGACCGTTCTGACATTTCATCCTATTGTTTTATTTGTTTTGCTATTTTTTTTAGGTTAATGCAATTTTTCGTTTTTTTAACTTACGGACTGATATAAACAGCTTTTCTTCAGCATTCTTCAGCACTATTGAACACATACATACACAAGAAACTATCAGTCGAACAAAAGAATACGAACTTCCACTCGCCATAGCCTTTATAGACTTTGAGAAGGCTTTCGATTCAATACATCCTAAGGCAATAATAGAAGCCCTAGCGACTAGCGAAACAAGGTATTGCAAAGCCTTATATAGAAACTCTCGCCAATATATACAAAGAAGCCAAAGTACGAGCAACGAGGAATGATTTATAAAACAACCCCAGAGTTCCCAACTGGTAAAGCGGTAAAAGAGTACGACCGGGAACCACAATATCCCCAAAGCTGTTTACAGCAACACTAGAAGAAATCTTCCCTGAACTGGACTGGACCAACAAAGGATTAATCAAAGACATTATAAAGATAGACCGAACATCTCATTCATAAATACTCGTTGGTAGTGTATCAAACATTCCAATGTGTCAAACAAGGACAGAAGAGACAGAGAAGTCTAAAATTTCCGACCCCGGCAACTAGGCACATTTGGATTGTTCTAATGGCCAGTGGCGTATCGTTTTTTGGAACGAATTAGTAAAGTAAAATAAAGTAATTAGTAAAATTTTACTCCATATTAATATACTACATTAACACTTTTTCGTCAGATGAGTTTTGTTATAAGGTCTAATATAATAATACAATTAATATCCCACATATACTTATGTTGAAACGTTAGAAGTTTTCGAAAATCGCTCCAACGTCAATTTTCAATTTAAACTTTCAGTTACTCTTATATAAACTTTCAGTTACTTTTGAAGATTTACAGGGTGACTCAGGCTTCCGAAATAGTTCTATATTAGGTTTGTGGTTGGTGACTCTTCTTTCATTTTTTTTTCAGAATATGGAGGCATTTAAGCACATTTTAGACATTTTTGTAAACATAGGTGGCCGGAACATATTTTCAAACCAAAGTTGTAGATTTGCCATTAAATTTCCATTCCAGAAATACCTAGGGTTGCCACTTGTCCTTTTTGAAAAGGACAGTCCTTTTAGAATAACTTGTCCTTATGATTTTTTTGACTTAAAAAGTCATTTTTATTTACGTATTTTCCCTGAGAAAATTACCTACAGCAAACAGAAATATCCTTTCGCCCAAATTTAATTAGGAATGTTTATAAAACTTAACTTATAAATACATTTTTCTTGTTTAGAATAGGCAACATTATTTAGAACTTCCCGTTTAATCTCAAATTATAATTTAGGTTTTAGTTTTACCTTTTTTTATCTTAAAAAGAACTTTTCAAAATTAGTACCTAATTAGTAACGATTTAGTTAGTTCGCAATCGATAGCTTCCTGTGAAGTACTGTGTAATAGTTGTTTAATCTTGTATTATTAATAACTTCCTATACCTAAAATCAATATTTAATGAGAAAATTGTGTTTTTTTTTGAAAAATAAGACAAGATTTGACTTTCGGTCTTCTTCTTGTATTATGATGGCTCTGATACGAGGCAATTGCCTTTTAGTCTCGCAATAGAAGGCATTTATCATTAAAAGTATAAAATCTGTGTGCTACAGTATGGGATTTCTGTCGCATAATAATAAATACCTATTACGTTTATTTACAAATCCTTTACTTTTAAAGGTAGCTTCATCAGATAATCAAATTTTAGTTAAATGTCCTAATCTTCATGAACTGTATTAAGCATATGTATTGCGGTTTGAATCACCCTGTATGTTGACAAAAATATTTTGAAAATGTGCGTTACAATGGCCCCCATCTTATGTAAAAAATTGAAATAAAAATCACAAACCAAAAACGTAATAGGTAAAAAGCTTTTTTGGAGGCCTGGGTCGCTCTCTATATAGATATGTATAAAACTAGTAGCCTAAGAATTATTTACAGTTCGTCCCATTCTAAAAAAAGTTAAACACACCGTACAAATAACTCTAGGAAGATGTATTTGTACGGTGGTAAAAAATTGTCTAAACAAGGCCGAACGGGCAGATATAATAAAGCATAAAATGTAAAAAAGGTCGGTTCAACCTTTGTTTATTTGTTGAGCAAAATTCCTTTCGAATATCGTATATAATGACCAAAATAGGACGCAATTTTAAGAAAAAAATGTCACTTTCTGGCTTATAATAAAATTTCAAATGTAACGTTTATATATAAAATTTGTTATGATCTACAACAGTTAGGTAGTAATTGAGACGAATTATAATTCAATTACCGGCTACTACGTTCTTGTTTTAATAGATCAAAATTCAACAAATATAATTAGAAATGATTTTAATTGTGAGAGGCTCCCTTGTGGGACGCCTATGTACGATTACGGCGCGGCGGAAACAATACCTACCTGTGAAAAGACAAATTCGGGTAATTTGAGCTTATTTGCCTACACATTTGACACTGTCGTACCATGTTGAAAATTCGCAGATTCAAATGTACATTAAACAAAAACAAAAACTACTGAAAAACACTGAAAAGTTCACTTCGGACTTGATTCCGACTTCAAACACACCGTAAGCAAAACGTAATACGCTATAACGGACCTTGGGCCGTCGCGAGGGGTGGTGGGACGGACGGCTCATTTCATTCTGGAAGACTAGGAGCGACGTTGCCAATAGTTCTAGATGTTTCAGCACATTAAACAGTAAACATGTCCTTTAATAGTAACGCATATATCCTCTGGTTAATAACATATTATTACGCATGCTTCTTTAAAAATAAACTATTCATTTAATTAAGAAATTGAGATTTATTGATATCCGGTGAAGGTTTTAAAGTCACCTTTTCTGCAAATCAAACTAAGTAGATAGGCGCAAATTTGATATGTGGCAATGTCGCCTTCTCTATCTCAGTTGGTTTTTACAGTACGTAGTCAACCTCCGAATGTTTGATCGGGTTAAAATGCATAATGTGATATCTGTTCTTCCTAAATCTATGACATAGTCCTAATTGCTAATAGCCCTAAAGAACTACAAGTTACAAAATGAACTTAGCAAAAAGTAAAGTACTGTACAATGAACTAGTGGACAGAAAAGCCATTCTAATAAATAACACAGCACTGGAAATCGTAGAAGAATACATGTATTTGGGACAACTAATACACAGCTTGGGATCTCTATTACCAGAGATCAACAGAAGAATTAAGTTGGCATGGAGTATCCCAAGCAGCATTTGGACGTCGGGACAACGTTGTGTCACGCGACCAAACGTCGGGGCGCAACGGCGGCACAACCTCGTGCCAACCCTAGTCTGCACTAGTTTGGAGAATAATTTTTGGATCGAAACGACGTTGGATACTGACGTTGGCTAGCAGCCTCCCAAGTAGCATCTATCTGACTTCGAACTAAATCTGACCTGAAGCGACGTCAGACTTTGTGCTAATTTAGGTCGGGTGCCGGTAATACGACCGGTGACGTCGCTTTCCTATTAAAAGCGACGTCGTTGGATCCGAGTCGGTA